TCGGAAATCCTGATTAATTCGAGCTATTTTTGATTATTTGAAAAAACACCTTTATCTATCACTTTAATTCTGCGAACCTGAAACTAGCATTAGGCTGCAATGAAATTATATATTATTAGACGGAAAGTTAATCTTCTTGGTCACATAATGGAATCTAGCCGGTATAGGATGTCGTATTGACCAGCAAAATAGGCTCGCTAGGTGTTAGGCACGCCAACACAATTGCAATGCAGAGCTAAATTTGCTAAGAGGCCATCGAAAGGGTATCGTTAAAACAAAGTATTAGATATATATTGTAATAACCAACGTACGTTTTATAAATACAATTTTGTATAAGATTTTCCTAATTTGGACCCCTCGATCGTTGGATTGCATGTGCTTGATTTTTTTTTATTTATTATCCAATATAATAGGTTGAATTGTCCAGCGACTTTACACGCACAGGCAGCTTTTATTGAAAATTAGTATTGCTATGTAAAAGAGAATTAAATATTCATTCCTTAATTTTTAGCAAGACGTAAATATGTTTTGCCTGTCTGCATTTTCATCAATATGATTTTTATTGACATTGTTTGCAAAACATTGTGTGTTTCATTTTATTTTCAAAATTCACTCCTTTTTACATAAATTTCCATTTAAAATCCTTAAAATTCTGACAACCTATTTTTTTTTTGTGGCAGAAAATTTTCTTTACTTCAAAGCAATATAACTACAAAATTTGAAGAAATTCTAATGAGAAATGGCGACACAATCATATTACCTTAAAACAGATTATGTAATTTATTTTAATAACCTAGTATTCTTTAATTAGAGTAATCCCCCTTGTATGTCCGACGTACCCCTTTGCGGAAAATGGAATTTATGACAGTTTTCAACGTTGAAAATGGTACCGGGACCCCGTGGAAAATGGTACCCAAATCATTTTTTATGATACCAGTTGAAATTTGACACCGTTGAAAAGTGAACAATATGACCTACTTATTAAATGACGCAGACTCACTAATTAAACAACAGCATAGCAGCAATATAAAAAAAAGCAATCTCTAGTGCTTCCCCCCTGTCCTATACATCTGATGGAGGACGCCAAGACCCCTCTGAGATCTCTCTTCATGTAATGGCCTGTTCCACATTCAACGTTGAAAATGGGCCTCACATTTATTTACAAATAAACTTTCAAAATGAACCTATGTTTTATATATTCAACATCAAAAATTGACACTTGAAAATAACGGCCCTTTTCCGTATTCATGTGTTTTCCAGAGATGACTCCGGGTCCATACCCAGGAACATTACAACATCTTTCCATGTTCATTTTGCAAATGACCCTGGGTCCATGTTTAACGTTTAAACATTCAAATCTATTGTATCCACAATGAACACAGCCAAAGCTTATCCTCTGTTGTGTGTTCCCCTTCAGACTTATCCTTAAACGTCGCCCCAAGCAATTTCTCTGAAACACAAAAAAAAGTGGCATAAAAACCAATCAGGCTTCAACGATATTTAACTAGATATGGGATACTGCGGAAAACATGCACGATATATGATCCGTATTAATATTGTTGTGGCGATACTGAGCAATAAGATGGTATACAGATATTTCTGCCGTTCACTGATTAGATATTTGGCCTTTCCCGACATAGAATATCGCTGATAGATTTTGTTTTGGACCAAATTCCAACACACTTAAATCTCTGTAGTCTGTTTTCGTATAAGGTAGACGTGGTGATCAATTCAAGGTACACTAGTATACAGACTGTATACAATCAAAGACTTCTATACCTATTTTGCCAAGTTAGTTCTTCCGAAAGCTTGTTTGTGCTTTTGGTTAGAGAATTGAAGAAAATGTAAACTCAAATTAAACATGTTAGTCTACATTTTCCTGTTAAGAGATTGGTAAAGGCATTCAAGCTCCCAAAGATTAGTAGATTTTGTCAAATAAATATAAGTTTGACGTTAAACTGTGGATTGACTGGATTAGTTATCGATTGTTGCACACTTGTACGGTGTACCTATTATATATAGTGTTTGGTATTGTATGTTTCCTTCTTTTGATCTTTATGGGCACACTGCACAAAATTAGTTTCACACTAGTGAGACAGCCCAGCCCAATTTTATTTAAAACAATTAGAAGTACCGTTTAACTTTAAATGTGTTTTTAGGGGGGAGGGGGTTGCGTCCTCGCGAAGAATACAGACAGAAGAAGACGGTGTCCAAGGCTGAAGGGTCCATTTTAAGAACTACTTTAAAATGTTATATCACAGAAATGCCGTAGCCTTAACACCAGTAACTCATCTGCTGAAAGGCCGCAAGGCCGTAATAGCGGACGTAAAACCTTCAAAATCAAAAACAAATCTAAACACGCTAACGTTAGCATGACGCTCCACCCGAACACATGGTGACAAAAAGTGAACCAGTCCTCACCGTCACCAATTCAAAGCTAAACGCCAACCGGGGAGTAGCTGTGTAACTACAGATGTACCAGGCAAGTATCATATTAAGTTCATCTGGTCCGAAGACCACGGTGAGCTAATGCCGTACCGTGGCGTCCGTCGTCGGTCCGTTAACTTTTCCTTTAAAACGCAACAAGTCCTGAACAGCTTTATGGATTTTGACTAAATTAGGCTTGGAGCATCCTTGGGCAAAGGGGATTCAATTTTGTATAAATTTAGGGTATTGCCCCTTTTGGTAAAAAGGGGGGGCCCAATAGTGGAATTTGAGGTTTAAATCTTTAAAATCCTTCTTCTTCTGTACCATTTGAGAAAGAGGTATGGCGAAAACTGCCCGTATTTCCCTAAGTCGGCATTTATGAAAACGGGAAAACAAATTAAGGAACAAAATATTTCGTGTATCAAAAATGCATACAAAAGATATAGAACCAATTGAATATGAATTTTTAAACTGCTGAGAAATTAGGTATTGCTAATATGATACTGCAGATATAGCCATATACACTATATCTATGAAAGCGATTGGATTTCCCGGACTTAAAAAAATACTTTCAACACTTTCCCATCTGAGGACCAACCTTTGAATAAACTGTTTGTGATCGTGATGTAATATGCAAAAACAAATCGTATTACGGAAAAGTGGTCCTCCTTTGGGAAAGTGCTCAAATAATGAAAAACAGGGTTGATCAAGTTTCTCTAAACTGCGACAGGTGTTTCTCGGGGTAAATCAGTTTGTAATTGCCAATATCTATATGTTCTATCTAGCCGAATGTGTAACGCAGTTTACTTGTGACTAAAAAAAAAATGGTGAAGGTTCGAATCCTGCCTCAGTTTTTTTTTTTTTTTTTTTTTTTTTTTGGCATGTGATCATTTTCCTTAATAAAGCAATATTTTGTTTTTCAAATCGATGGAAAATTTTGTTTACATTTTAAAAACATACCTATTGATTTATCAGTTTTGTTAGTAATAATTTCGTTACTATTTAGTGCGACATGCGGATTATCGCCCGATCCGCGAGACCGGATACTTTACTTTCTCAGAACTCATTCTGAATGCCACCGATTTACCGAACGCAGGTAGTAGCGATGAAAATTAAATCCGTTCAAAACTGTTTCGTATAGATTGCACGATCTTGTATTACATATAAGCGTATACTTTGTTATAAATCAATATAAATAACGTGAAATAAGCATTGTGTTGAGCCTTTAACGTTAAACGCATGTATTAATAGCCATGGCCTTAAATTCGTCTGTTTACAATAATCTATTCTTAGACACAGGATTCCGATATAGCTACGTATACCAGTATAAAAATACCTGAGGACGCGTCATAGCAGTGCACGGTTGGATGCGCGCACTAGCATAACATAACTTTGGGGAAATAGGCATAACAACCCGCCATACCTCTTTTATCCAAATTTTGCCTGGAGCATTATTGGGCAAAGAGGATTCAATTATGTTTAAACGGAGGGTGTTACCCCTCTGAGTGCAGAGGAGCGGGAGCCAATAAGGGAATTTGAGGTTTAAATCTTTAAAAACCTTCTGCTTCTGTACCATTGGAGGGATCTTAACCAATTTCTATCTCAATTTCATCTTTTAAAAAGAAACTTAAAAAAACTTTTAATACATCTGTCTCAGAAACTTTTATCAACTGAGTTCCGAGGAAAATTAACATTATTTTATATCAGCTAAGAAATTTTAAAAGTTATCTTAACTTTGATAAGTAACAAGACCATGCATCTGCTTGATGATGCTTCCTGTGTATGTGGTGCACACACGGAAGATTTAATACATTTTTTCTTCCATTGTCCTCTGTATTCAAATATTAGGCATCATATTACCACTATTTATAATCTATTAGGATATTTAATTCTGCACTGTTTATTATATGGTATTAGTAATGCATCTGACCAATTAAATAATACTATTCTTATAGATGTTAATTTTTATATTAAATCATCAAAACGTTTCGTTACTTATACATGCTTGATAAATTCCAAATTAATATTCATGTATTATTATTATTATTATTCACGCAAGTTTTGTCCCTTAAACAATGAGTATTACACATAAGCTGGTTTGGGTGTAGGTGTACATGTGTGTGAGAGGAAAGCGAATTACAACATTCTATATGTTCAATCATTGTACATAGCTACCGGAAATAGAAGAAGACTGATAGGGTAAAGTGACAGTGAGTCGGACACGGTATAAAGTCGGACACTTTCTTTGTTGTTTTATGTGGTTTTCTATCCTTACAATCCGGTCTTTCCCTGTAGCTATGCTTAAACAAGCATAGCCTGTTGTCTGGTTCTTTTGTTAATACTGTGCTAACATCTTCTTTAATTTTGACTTATATGTTTGTATTATATATGTATTGTCAATAAAATACTTTTGAAATAAAAAAAAAAAACATATCAGGAATGAAAGATCATGTTCGTTGCGTAGCGTTGACATAAGTCAGATTTTGTCAGTGTGATGGTGCCAACGTACAGAAAACAATGACATCGGTTACCGCCCTTTTCACTGTAGTTCTTCTGTTGAGTAAGAGCAGATTTAGTCCACTCAAGCGACATCGTGGCGAAGGGAAGTTGGCCTACACGACTGTCAAAATGATGCAAATAACAGATTTTCAGAGTAAGGAAAACAGTCTTAGACCCTGTCTACTATTGAAATACACGTAACTCTCTTCTGTTGTTTGAACATTGTAGAAAGAGTAGTTTTTCAGTGTCTCTGCTAAGTATTTGCCAGACCGGTCACGTAAATATTGTGACTGTAACATGACATGTTGATAAACAGAGCTAATAATGACACCATCGCTGGTTAGAGCTACGTTGTATTTCCATTGTTGTTAGCTTTAAGCTTTGGCTCTGGCATGTTGTTGAACTTGATGAAGTAGGTGTGGTCAGAGTACGACCAGATACATCCATATGTTTCTGGTTAAGGGTTGACACGAAATTGGATACGAGTCGGTGAACGACTTGGATAATTAATTAAGAAGTATTTGATTTCTACCGTACTCTGACCAAACCTGAGGGAAATGGACTTTAAAATGGCATTATTTCAAGAGAATGGACCCTAATATACATTCTTCATCACCAACTGGAGTCATATGTAGAAGATTGGGCGTTTATTTTGTTTACATCCATTTTAAATTAATTTTTCAAAATAACGCAATTCACGGCACGGCAATTCTAAGTTATTAGAAAATAAAACAGTTAAACTAAATAAATAAAGACATTTTAGTATTGAACATAAAAAGGTAAAAAAAAATAGATATTAAAACATTTTCATTATAAAGTATAATATTTTTATTATGTTTGTTGGTTTCTGCTATAAATGGTTTGTACTTTTAATTAATAAATCCATTTTATTCATTGTTAACACAGAAATTGGTGTTGGCCTCGCTGGATTTGGAGTAGCCTTCCTTTTCCTTGGTGTCTTGTTTTTCTTTGATAAAGGTTTGCTGGCAATTGGAAATGTAAGTGTATGAAGTATCCACTGTATTATAATGAAGTTACATACAAGTTTGAATCGTCACTATATAACCCTTTCAGTTTCAAATTAAGCCCTGAATGTCATATGACCCTTTTGATGACGTCATTATTATTATGACGTTATCAAATATAATGTTGAATACCACTGACCCTCACTGGAAGATTGCTGTTCTATTCAAATTGTTATCATGATATATGAAAAGTACATGGAAATGACACTTGCTTTTACTTGCTTGAGTTAAATTTCTTAGGCTAATTCATAATTTCTACTTTTTTTCAGATACTTTTCATATGTGGACTAGCTTTTGTTATTGGTTTGGAAAGAACTGTGAAATTTTTCTTTCAAAAACATAAATTGAAAGCAACAGGATTTTTCATTGGCGGTATAACTATAGTTCTGATTGGCTGGCCAGTAATAGGAATGTGTGTTGAAATGTATGGATTTTTTCTTTTATTCAGGTAAGATTTTGTAATTACATTAACTTTGAAAAGAATATTTATATTTTAATTGTTTTGCAAAGTCCTTCTATGTTGCTGGTTATATACCCCACACAACAGAGTTGGGCTGTTGAAATAACGTTGTTTTCTGATCAACTCCTCCAACATTTTCAGCTGAATTTCATGACACTTCGCTGATGTAATATATTGACACACTGAAGTTATTCACCTGCAGTTAATATTTTGATTCCTAGAATTTCAGCAATTTAATATGTGTTTATCTTGCCATCTATATATTCTTTCAATAACTCATTAAAAAAACAATAACTAAATTTCTACCAAATTTCAGTATGCACAGGACATATATATTAGCCTTTGGTTAATGGTAACAATGGTATGACATCACGTCAACAAAGCATCAACGTCACGTCAATCCCGCAATAAGCCTGACATTAACCCCCGCAATAAGCCATAAGCCTGATACATTAACATTACATTATGTTTATGATACACAGTTAGTGAACAGGTTAAGAGAAAAAGAATCATTCACCCTCTTGAGGTGAGATTGGTAATCTCAACCTCCTAGGAAAGATTCTTAAGTTGCCAAACACATGGCAAAGCCTGGTGTTTGGCAACATTATTTAGAATCTTCCCCCTCAGGTTGAGATTCTCCTATTTCACCTCAACAGGGTGAGAGGTTCTATTAGTCCTACTCCTATACTGGTTAATGATTATTTTTCGTCCACGTCAAATACATGTGGAAATTAATTATTAGCTCATCTGGCACAAAGTGCCAAGTGAGCTTATGCCGTGTTGCGGCGTCCGGCATCCGGCCAGCGTCAATATTTTACTTTAAACGACTTCTTCTTAATAACCGAAAGGCCTAGAGTGATGATATTTGGCCAGAAGCAAACTGGGATGAAGGGCTACCAAGTTTGTTCAAATAAATGACCTTCACCCATTTTCAAGGTCACAGGGGTCAATTGTCTCAAAAAATCTTTAAACAACTTCTTCTGAATAACTTAGAGGGCTAGGATAATGCTATTTAGGCAGTAACATGCTAGGATAAATGGCTACTAAATTTTGTTAAAATGAATGACCTTTACATATATTCAAGGTCACAGGGGTCAAATATGTTTGAAACCTTTAAACAACTTCTTCTGAATAACCATGAAACCTTGGATAATGATATTTGGCCAGTAACATGCTGGGATGAAGGGCTACCAAGTTTGTTCAAATAAATGACCTTCACCCATTTTCAAGGCCACATGGGTCAAATATGTTTAAAACCTTTAAATACCTTCTCCTGAATATCCAAGACGCATATGCTACTGACATTTGGCCAGTAACATGCTAGATAAAGGGCTACCAAGTTTATTCAAATGAATTACCTTCATCTATTTTCAAGGTCATAGGAGTCAAATATGTTTAAAAACTTTAAACAACTTCTCAATAACCAAAAGGCCTTGGATAATGATATTTGGCCATTAACAAGCTGGGATGAAGGACTACCAAGTTTGTTCAAATGAATGACTTTTGCTATATTCAAGGTCACAGGGATCAAATATGTTTAAATCTTTAAATGACTTGTTCTGAATATTAAAAAGGTCCAGGGTAATGACATTTAGCCAGAAATATGCCGGAACGGAAGGCTATAAACTTTCAAGGTCGCAGGCATCATATGTTTAAATCGTTTAATAGATTCAAATTGATCGAACACAGATATTTCGCCTGTAGCTGTATATTAGTCCACTTTTAAGATTACAAGTGTGAGATTAATACCAGGTGAGCGATTCAGGCCCATTGGGCCTCTTGTTTTATGAAACGCATTTTGCCACATTTTTATCCCATCTGTTATCATTTTGAATATATTTTGCCTTTTATTCTTGCAGTGGGTTTTTCCCGGTTGTTATTAATTTTTTACGACGAGTTCCAGTTTTGGGAAGTTTACTCAGCTTGCCTGGGATACGGTCGGTAAGTTCACAAATGTTTGGAGTCCTTGTGTACAAAGGGAGGGAAATCTGTTTGTCTTAGCCTTTGACTCTCTCTATAAATATGATTGCATGAAACCATTCTCATGTTCAAGCGCTCAATTCTGTGATCAAGACAAATTTCTTGTTCCAATTTATAAGTTAAATCAAACTTTACATTTGCTCTATGATTTAGAAGAATTTGGGGGAAACCGTTTTAAATGATAACACATACCATTTTTATTGTGTCACACGATTTATAAGTGAGTCACAAGAAAGTTGAGTTGAGCATAGAATCCATGCTTGGGAATGGTTTAATGATTATGAGCCCAGGTGATGTCATGCAGCAGTTATCATGTGACATTCAAGTTCTCGTTCATTTTACTGTAATGCCTGTTTGTTATTGACAGATATTCAAAACATGTTTTTATATATTCTATAACCAATGTTCAAATATGAATATAATATCTGGTATCGCTCCAGTATGTACTCTATTGGATTTCTATTCAGATGAATTTACATTAACCAGGATTTCAGACATTTTTAAGATACAAGAATCACGACACACTAATACGTTATTGTATATCATAATTATTAAAGTGAAAACAACACCAAACAATTTTCTTTGGCTTTCTTTTTCAGATTGCGGACAAACTAGGGGAATCCAACTCGATGGTATAACAGCTTTTTGTGACTTTAAATCTCATTTGTGTCATGGTCAGTGTTGGGATGCATGCTGTAAATAGGGACTTGTTTTGAGTGCTTGAAGGTCATGTTCACGTCGTTTGAGATTACGAAATGCCATGTGATGAAAAAAAAATGCCTTAATGTACATTTTGCCTCTCAAGCTATGACCGACTATGATTTGGCAATTTTTCTCTGTGTTTTTTTCTCTCAGTTTTCTATACTGGGGATTTTTTCCAACTTTCTGTAGTTGGGAATGCTCCTTCAATTTCTTTGTGTCAGCTCAAGTGTCCACAAACAGTTGGGTTTATTCATCAAAGTTAAACTGACTAACATATGTTTCAATTAATGATGCGTTGAACTGTCTGTATCCAGGGTGAATATCATAATGTGTAATTTCATTACTTCCTGTCTATAATTTACAATCTTTTATTGCCATATTATGAGATTTATATATTAAACACATCACTTGATTTATTTATTTTCATTTAAACAAAATCTCCATTTTTTTTCTCACTTCTATTCCTTATTGCCTCCCTTGGCACCTGGATCTAGCCAGAACAACTCGATAATGAATCGTGTGTTCATGATAACATTTCAAAGGGGTGGTCATTTAGTCATGAGTCATTCCCTTTTTTTTTTTTAAAGTTTATTCATTCAATTGTCTAAAATTAAATTTACTTATTAATTAATTATAAATGACTTGCTGCTTTTCAAAACTTAAAAGTCTCTAACTCTCTATGTAAAAAATTTAAATAAAACACTTAGTGGTATGGATTGGTTCATGATTCATCTTCTAACAATCTTAAAGGTTGCACAAAAAACAAAATTACAGAAATATTACAGAAATTATTTTTGTGGTAAAGAGACTTTAATTTAGACACGATAAACTTAGACACGCTAAACTTTCTGTGAATAAAGCATAAGATATTGACCAAATCCGGAACAACTTCTTTAATTTGATACCTGACAATGTCAATACAGTATTATAATATACACAATTTTGTAACTGTCTGATGGTTTTACTTTCTGATTGATCAACGGATCAGCTGAATTCCGCATACCAGTTGTGTTTACGTTGCAAAGATACCAGAAATGTTATTCAGTGGCATGTGTTAACCCTTTCACCACTGTAGATCATCATTGACTCATCCAGATGAATACATGGTAGAGTCTACTCAAGTTACCTAGGGGTGAAAGGGTTAAAGCAGTTTGTACATGGAAAATGTTAATGATTTGATTTGCAGTATATGATGGTTCTACACACTTTTCAAATGAAATGAGCAGTTTGAAATCCTTGTTCCTTGATGAAAACTTGAGTATATGATTGTATGGTTTAATTGTTGGAGAGTGTGCTGCTTTGAATGGTACCCATAATTTATGAGAGTAATGCTTGTGTGAATGTATTAGACACATTGAAGCTATGGAGAATGAAATAATGAAACTTAATTATGTAACTCTGAGAATGAAGTCATAACAAACGATATTTTAACTCACAATGTGAGTATGGATGGTGATGTTATTACTTGGAACTCTTAAGTGTTGAGGTCAGAGTTATTACAGAGTTTAAACTTTTACTACTGTAATAATTGTTTCCATATGTGTATTAGGGTTTTAGCACCATCTGCACAGAGGAAGATGGCAGAAGAAAACGAGTGCAATATGGTGCCAAACCGAACTTATCGGACAAAAATGTACAAACTTTGTGTTTTATATTTTGGATAGTGCTTTAAAATAAATGTAGATATAAGTCATTAATTCTGTTATTACTACATATACAATTGTAACGCTATGAGTTTCCTCGTAACTCTACTGTTGACCAGCTTTACGCATATGCAGTGTTTTACAATTGATGTGGTGTATTGTTACTGAGATTGTATACAAAATACCCAACACGAATTTCCACTATTTTTAGTTTATGTTACTTCACTTCCAATTTCCTAATTAAAGCTACATATGAAAAATATTTCATTTGTCGAAATTCAAAATGACAAATTTTCAGTGGTCTTGTTCTTGTTATCGGTCCATTAACTAAATTTACATGCCTAAGGACAACCGGGGAAGCTGTGCCTTGCATGGGGTTAGGGGAAAGAATAGACCTGCTTGCTATTTACACCTTCTTTCCTGTGATGTCTCCCTTTACCTGATCTCTTAAATGTTGCAAAGACGTTAAACCCTCAAAAAAACTAATGCTTGTGAATTTCAAGAAAGTTCCCTTTAGAACTTTCTGTGGAAAGAGTAATTTTAATTGTCCAATTTTAAAACTAATCGCAAGAACAATATGGTTGCTTGGGGGATGTCTTGGAATTGGACATTTGTTATTGCTATTTCTAAGAAATCTCTTGGATTTTTTTTTTACCAGGGATCAAAGTACCTCTTAGTTTTTAGTTGTGCATGTTTCATTGTCAGCTTGATCAAGAAAAACATTGTCACCAGGTAGACATCCTGAAATTTCCCATACAATTTTTTATCGTATAACACAAATATCTCTCAAACTTTAGTTCTTGCAGTTTGGAATATTTCATCTAGAGATTGCACAAATAGAAAAAGTTACTGCCAGAAATTAGAAAATCGTATTTTGGTCAAAAGGCTCAAAGAATTGAAATGACAAGGTAAAACACAACAGAATGAGAGTTTGATCAAAAGTGAGCACATAGTGCATTTACTGTTGACATGATGATCAGGTCAGAACAGATCAAACTTAAATCAAACTAGTGAAGGTTTTACTATGGTTGGTGCCAAGATCCCACTGGGGTCTCAATTTGGTTTCATACGTCGTCTTCGAAGTATGCAATATTATTATGAGAAGTTCTTTTTACACAACCAATACAATTACAATTTTATTAGTTGTGCAAAAAGAACTTCTCATAATCCATACTTAACAACCTGAAGAAAATATTTAGAAATACGCAATATTATTGTGCGTTTTTAGCTCACCTGGCACGAAGTCCCAGTTGAGCTTATGGTATGGTGTATTGTCCGTCGTCCTGCAACTTTTTCAATGAAAGACTTCTGAAGGACCTAGGGTGATAACATTTGGCCAGTAGGTCCCTAGGACAGAGTTCTATTAAGTTTCCTCAAATAAATGACCTTGTCCTACTTTCAAGGTCACATGTTAAATATGTTAAAAACTTTTAACATTTTCTTCTGAATAATCAGGAGGCCCAGAGTAATCATACATGGCCAGTAGACACATGGCATGAAGTGCTATAACGTTTCCTCAAATAAATTACCTTGACCTACTTAACTCATTCACCCCTGAAGACTCATTTGAACTCTCCCATTTCAATAGTTGGAATAGTTCATTATGAAATTTCAGGGGTAAATGAGTTAAAGACCACAAGAGTCAAATGTGTTCAACACTTTTAAACATCATCCTCTGAATAACCAGCAGACCCAGAGTACTGATACTCGGCTAGTAGTTACCTGAGACAGAGTACTATAAAGTTTTCAAAAATAAATTACCTTGACCTACTTTCGAGGTCACAAGGGTAAAATGTGTTAAAACCCTTTAAACATATTCTTTTGAATAACCAAGAGGCCTAGAGCAATGATATTTGGCCAGTAGGTCATGGGGGTCTAATATGTAAAAAAATCTTTATAAACAACTTCTTGATTTACAAAGAGGCCCAGAGTAATGATACTTGGCCAATAGGTATCTGACATGAAGTGCTATAAACTTTCCTCAAATAAATGATAATTGACCTACTTTCATGGTCACAGGGGTCAAATATATAAATATCTTTAAACAACTCCTGCAATACCAGGAAGCCCTGGTTGATGCTATTTGACCAGTAGCATGCTGGGATAGAGAAGCATAAAGTTTGATTTAGTCTGGAACATTCTTCAGCCTATCTAGGAGACTCAATATATGGAAATATTTGCAAAAGTATTTTTTTTGAGAATATTTTCCCATGATTGCTCAAATATCCAGGTGTGCCATACAGGCCCTCTGGGCCTCTTGTTTAAAGCACAGTGTGAATGTTCTTGTAATATTAAGCTTTTTGAAAGTGCACTGCTTATTTATGTGAAGAGAATATATGTCTCCCAATTAATAGTATCATTTATCCCGCGCAGCCCTAGTTAGATGCAAGAAGACTTTATGTGAACAGGATCAAAACGGTATTTTTTTTTTACTTAAGGAAAGTCCTTAAATTTTCCTCTGGAAAGTATAACTGAATTTTAAATATTAATAAGGACTTATTCTTAACTTAAGCAATGAATTCCAATTGGGAATATAATTTCTTTAATTTAACAAATGTTCGTTAAATTGTGGCCTAAACTATACACATTTTCTGGACTATGTTGCTGGACATTTGAATCAGCTGTGAGTGTTTGTTCCACTGTTGATTCCTAAATGGTCGTAATAACCATATGGTACAGTAAAATATTTACTTTGTATGGTATTCCACATCAATTTTTTTTTAAATAGAATTCCCCTACTGTGTATTTAAAGAGTTGATTTTTAAAGAATTTAGCAATGGTGTGTGATATATATTATTTAAAACAGGTTCTATGACCGCATGAAATTGGTGACTGAAGCTAAACACATATAATTAACCTTATTTTAGTATATCATCATCATTATATAAACTGGTATTGATTTGAATTCAAATATCAGCAGCAGCCTCTTTATATTAGGCAGTGATTGATGTATAATCAATCAGGATTGCCGATAGTCAGGTTACAGAATTGAAAAATGTGCCATTCTGTTTAAAAAAAAAAACGCCAAACAAACTTGTTATTCAAAAAACGAATCCATCAGATGAAATGATATGGTGGCCTTTTTATGTTGTAAAAATCCAAACAGTTCCCTATATTAAGATACTTTACGTCTGTAAGGTTATTTTTTACACCGTTAGGCCTACAATAAGTTTTTTTTTATATATATATAATTCATGATCAGCTTGTTATGTGCTTATTTTTTGATAAAGAGGTTTAAATGTGAAAACCATTTCATTTATGTACGTATAAATATGCAGCTTGTTTAGTCAATATTTGATTTTATATTATCAAATAATATTATCAAATATAAATGCACAGCGATATAAATAGCGATCACCAAAATATTAAAGAAACACAATATTTTTAAGGTATCAATATTTGCAAACTTTTATAAATATGAATAGCTATAGATTATGATATATGGAAAGAATGATATTTTATGTATGACTGTTGAAAGCATGTAGCGTTTTTGTTAATTGTAAATGAATATACTTCTAATAAAAATGCATGATTTACCATAATGTATGTACTTGTTGAATTTTGAACGGAATTATGAGTTTCAACAAATTTGTATAGATTTCTTGAAATGGTTATTTATAACGTTCTTAGCCACGGTTGTTCCATAAAGCATTACGTTAACGCGATTTGTCCAATGTTGTAACACATATGGGGTATCTCAGAGATTTTGTTTGTTCTCCTGGCTGCAAACTCCACTGACAAGAACGTTTTACCATAAAGTTGTATAACACTGTAAAATGACAGTGGAATATGTTTTTTATTCGTATTTATGGTGAATGAAGAGTACAATTCTTTGACACACTCTGCTTTGAAGTCTTTTGGACCATTATGGCCTAAGTGTTATATATGGTGGAGTTGACAGAGCTTTGACCATAAGGCTTCACACCGAGGAGACTCCGCCGAAACGAAAGAGAAGGGAAGACATGATTTAGATCGCAAGTGCTGCAATAGGGGCAGCAGATCAAATTTGGGTTTTTCAATGTCCTCTTGATTAGCAGAAGACTGGAGAAACTCCTGATTCTGCAGAGGGACCCCGTTGGTCGCCTCTTACAGTAACAAGCTAGGTGTTGCAGTCTTGAAAGTGGTCTGGGACCATTATAGGCTTAAGTTGTTATGACTGATGAAGCTGACAACTCTTTAGCAATGTGGATTTTGGTCTTTATAACACCTAGCAGAGCGGTAGTTTTATTGAAAAGAAATATAGCTACCGTTAATTAGGCTTTGCAAAGATATGGTGCTTCTTTGTACGTAATTGCTGATGAAAACCTACATTGCCTGCTTTTTATCATGTGTATTCCGCCACTTTACGCCATGTGTTTCTTTGTTTACAGTACTGCTACATTGTATTTGAAAACCGTGTATTGTTGTAAAAAGATTTATATTTAAAGAATATCTAGGTATTCATAGTAAAAGCTTATTATAAAAGACTTTATGTTTAAAACTTAAGTTGCCTTTGTATAACTCGACTGAGGATTCAAAGTCATTTTTAGTTTTATCCGTTATTGTTGACGATGTGTCACTTTTTCTGTTTTACTTAACGAATACATATACTCCGGGAGTAATCCTCATTGGTTCCACTTTGCTGTCAAAGAAAATGGGAAACCTGTGATAGAGTTATGTTTTAAACTTTTAAAAAAACTTTTCGAAATATCGAGCCCTATTTACTTGACTATCAGATCATAATGACTGTTCATATTGAGGAGAATCGTGAAGGAACGGGAATTCTTATGTTAATTGGAGTATGAACCGATGAAAGAAGCTTAACAGTAAATTGTTGAGTGTTTTGGGGAACTAAGTGACCTTCTAAGGAGAACTTACTACTGTACAGTGAGCTATTGACGATTGTTAAAGAACGTTCTAATTGTTAACCTATTTCGATTCTTCCTTTCTTGCAGAATAACATGGCGTAATACACTGACAGTTAACGGACCAGTCGCGAGATGACCCACGAAGTGATTCTTTCGGAAACATTGATAAAATGGGTCAATATACCAGAGACTGTATTATACGTCTCTGAATATACCCATGAACTGACATTATTTTCATCTCATTTTCATACAATAACAGCTCCACTTTTCACTGATTTTGAGTTAAACTTTTAAGTGATTTTAACGGCACCTACTTTAATGAAAAATTAATGTTTGACTAAATGAACCAATCCTGAATAAAACATATCCGAATAATAAATTGATTTTGCATACTTTACTACATTCACGAAATAAGTTGATAACCGAGAATTTAGAACGCAAAGGAAAAGCTTAAAAATAATTTGAGTGCAAACGTATCCCTTTAAACAAAATATGAACTTCCCTTGGATGTTAGTTTAGCTTAGTTGATGATAGCACTTTTGGACGAAATAATTCAGAAACTAGCAAATATCTAATAGACATGAATGCCCCCGTACAATTGTGTTCATATGGAATTACTGTGATAGTAGTAAATGCTTATTCTATTCTTTATTAGCCAAAAGCCATTAGGCTTAGATATATAGTGGTTTTGTTGGCGAATCTATCTTATATTTAATAGCTGGTTTTGATTAAATATTTAACAAATTGTGTAATTATACAGGTAATTTTCTCTCGTTATACTTGTTTCTCGTCTTCATCTTTATATATATGATGCATACTGGACTGCACCTATATACTTGTGTTTATATTGAATTACTGGGATAGTAGTTAATGCTTATGTTTTATATTATTCTATTCTTTATTAGACAAAATCCCTCAGACTCTCTGAACAATATATATCCACTTAAAAAAGGAAGAAGCACTACAGTAAACGAGGTTTATGAAGCTGTATGTATGAGAGCTGGGGGTGATTAACGCGGTCACGGTAGCCCGACATTTACTTTGCGGAGTTATCCCCCTTGTCACACAGCAGAGAAACAATATCATGACATCTGACAAGTAAAAAAATAAAGTCAAAAATAAATGTTAACAGTATTCATGGGTATGTGTGTACAAAAAAACCCAGACGTATTATTTTTTTAATCTTAGAACGATATCAATCTTAGCTATTTTGTCAAGGGGTCTAGCCCGAATTTCCTCTGGCTCTGACACCACCCACACCAAACATCTAGAAACTCGGGCTACCAGGGTTCGTTGGTAGTGTATACACTTTTGTATCGACTGTCCACTCTTACTCAAAGTAATAACCGTATAAATGTATTCCTGAATTTTTTCTACATGTATGTAGTCAGTATTATCACGGAATTAGATCTGAGTCTGTGGTATTATCAAGAAAACTGTAAGAAAATACTTTCAATTTCTATAATAATCCGATGTATTTTGAAGCTAACAATGCTGAGCACAGGTCACCTGAGCGAGAACCTGTTTTGAACAGTGTAAAGGTAAAATCATGCATGCTTTGCACGCTTTTTTCCACCTACAGTCAGCCTAGTTGGCTTCGTGTTTTGTTGTGATCCTATATAATGGACATAAATAACACCATTCTGGACATTTGAAGCATTTCTTAACAGTTTCTCAAGACTTTTCACTGTATGGATACCTCAGGAGAACGTGTAAAGGTGTGTTAATTATTTGTAATACTCAAAGCTCTGCGTGTGCACAGACAGAAATTCTGCTCAAACGTCACTTTTTTTTAACAAAATGAACAATATTTCAACAAACTGTTTCACTCTCAGGATTTGTTATACTCGGTATCCAAACAACTTCCGCCTCTCTTGATATATTCTTCAGTGACATGAGCACAGATGAAATACCGTAAATATGTATCTAACGAAAACTACCGACAAGGCAAGTGAGGTTACCATATCCACAAGGAGTGTCAACACAAGGAAAGCAAAGCTGTTTAAGATTCTTATCGAAAATATGAAAATATGATACTTTCAATGGACATGTAACGTATGGAAGGCATGTTATGAAGATACTTGGGCACAGTGTGAACGAAAAAAAGGTAAGACAACTGTTTTAAAATCATATTTGCTCCAACGTAAAGTGAATGGAACGGATGATATAGAGAATGTGATTGCCGAAAAGATGAAAGATATAAACGATGCTTGTGACATCAACACAAACAACGTCCAAGGGATCGCTCGCGATGTTTTATTAACAGGAGACGAAAAAACTGGTCGAATTAGGGGGTAAAGGTCTGACGAGAGAATGGGCTCAGGTAAGTCGTTTCCTAACCAACGCTTCCATCGAAACTTGCGTTGCAGCGTCTTTGCATTGAGCCGGTAAACCGGCGAATAAGGTCAACGTTTGTGCCAGCTCCTACAAGTTAGACAGCAGTTTTTTGGATTCCCGTTTACATTTCACGATAAATCGTTTATATTTCACGGTGCATCCTTTATATTTCATGGAACACCGTTTATATTTCTCGATACATCGTTTATATTTCACGATATATCGTATATATTTCAGGGAACATTGTTTATATTTCACGATACATCATTTACATTACACGTTACACCGTTTATATTTCACGAAACATCGTTTATATTTCACGATACATCGTTTATATTTCACGATACATCGTTTATATTTCAGGGAACCGTTTAAATTTCACGATACATCGTTTATATTTCAGGGAACATCGTTTATATTTCACGATACATCGTTTATATTTCACGATACATCGTTTATATTTCACGATACATCATTTATATTTCACGATACATCATTTATATTTCACGATACATCGTTTATATTTCGCGATGCATCGTTTATATTTCAGGGAACATCGTTTATATTTCACGATACATCGTTTATATTTCACGATACATCATTTATATTTCACGATACATCATTTATATTTCACGATACATCGTTTATATTTCGCGATGCATCGTTTATATTTCAGGGAACACCGTTTATATTTCACGATACATCGTTTATATTTCACGATACATCGTTTATATTTCAGGGAACCGTTTAAATTTCACGATACATCGTTTATATTTCAGGGAACATCGTTTACATTTCACGATACATCGTTTATATTTCACGATACATCGTTTATATTTCACGGAACATCATTTCCATTTCACGGTACACCGTTAATATTTCACGATACATCGTTTATAATTCACGATACATCGTTTAAATTTCACGGTACAGTACATCGTTTATATTTCAGGGTTCATTGTTTATATTTCACAGTGCATCATTTATATTTCATGGAACACCGTTTATATTACACGGTACATATGTCACATTACATCGTTTAATTTATAAATCACCGTTTATTTTATGGAGTAAGAGTGTAGTTCTAGCAGTTAAGTGTTTCTTTTCAAGTTCAGTGCATCGTTTATTTTTCAAACTCGCCGTTTAATTGTTCAACTCTAAAGTTTATTTTTGAAGAACACGAAGAAAAACACAGAATCTTGTTTCCCTTCCGCAAATACAATGGTTTTTTAAACTCAAAATAACACAATAGTGAGGACTATCAGGCTATTGAGCTATAGTTGTCATCTGATTCTGACACTCGGAACTCGGTGTGGTGCCTCTTGCTAGTTTATCTAGAGAAGCTCCGAATATAGGAAATATGACAAGGGGGAAACTCGAGTGCGTGGGTACATGCTATTTTATTTCTCCCTCGTGCAATCAATATAATTTAATCAGACACACTGTTATATAAGATATATGAGGTATAATTATACACTGATAACGAAGAAACCAATCACTGCGCTTACCTTAAATACGTTTAGCAGGGAAAAACTTATTCCATTTTTCAGGATTTTGGTATGTCCCGGCCTGGTGATAGAATCTATTACTTTCATCACATTGGCAAACATTCTGCAACAAAGCCAAACTTGATGTGGTGCCATGGGATGGGTTACGAAGTATATAGATAAACAAGAAAACATAAATAAGCATAGGATAGGAAAAGATCAGAATACAACTGTCACAATGGGGTGCGTAATACACATTATTGTCGCCAATATACTGTTATACACTTTAATATGCGGTAATAACCGTAGCGAAATCCCTGGTACATGTATAAAACGGATGGATGGATCGTTCTTCGTCGGGTCCCTCCCCTCGGCCATTCTCGGAACGGTGTACCTATCCAGCATAGCTCTCAGGTTCATTGAAACGTTCATGCGTCCCCCCGAACACAGCAAAGTGGTCATCCTTGGTAACGGTTAAGGGGAAGTAAATTGTCTTTGTTTCCAGGTTGTGTTGTTTTCCTGTCCTTGCGTACAAATATCAGAGATATTTTCTGCTTGATGTAAATTGCAGGAGAGATCAAAATGCGATGAAGAGGCCTCACTACTTTATGGCCCTTGTGTCCTTTAGTCTTGCCATTTGCATGTTGTATAACAGAAGAATAATGCACGGCAAGACTTGGGATTCTTACGCAGGACCAACGTCATTCATGTGGCACCCTGTTATATTTTATAGTTCGTTGTGATTATAATGTTGCGTCTTCGTGTACATATTAAGGGCCTACCGAAGTTAGAATTAATTTAGCCGCGTCATTCGTGTCGTCATGTGTGATTCGTACTTTCGTGTTGTCACGTGATTTGTACTTTCACTTTGTCAATCGTAAGGGCCGTGTCCGTTACGTGTACCACTGAATAACTATTGACAAATTGAGTATGTCACAAAGCACCGCATCACACTTATCAAATATAAGTTCATACAACACTTTCCCGCTTCGTCCCTGGTACGTTCTGCTCTTTCAAGGTAATGTGTACATGTTTGTTTGTATACCTGTGTTGTCACGTCTCCATTTTTTATCCCTCGACTGCAGACTAGGAGTGAAAATCATGCTTACTACCAATACTTTCCCGCCTTATCATATTTTTTGTTCTTGGGCGACGACATCCTCGATATCTAGGGGTTACGCTCACTTTCGCTCACTGCACCCCTGGAATATGTCATAGCAAAATCGAAGGCCCAGTGTGCGCCACCTTGTTGATGAGACAAGAAGACTAGTTCGATCATTTGATGTACAGAAAACGAATCTCGCGGTCACGTAACGGTAAAAAATGACATGCTTTAAAGTCGGGCATCTCTCCTTTGTAATCTTCAAAGGACAGGTATCAGCCTAGCGATTGGTCACTTTTTTATTTACCTGAGACCAATCAAACAGCTATGTTCGTGCCTTCAATTTTGCGATGACATATTCCAGGAGTATAGATAGCGAAAGTGAGTGTAACCCCCGGATATCGAGGATGGGGCGACGAAGGGACAGGGCGTAAAATGCAT